CACAAACCCAGTATAACCACTGTTGACATTTCATGATATTTCCCTTTCATAGTTTCCCCTGAATGGTTTTCTACTTTTACACAGTTACAAGTAGTTGCAACTACAATTTCACATCCTGCTTTTACCTTCAGCATTTTTTTTTTTTTTTTGGAGGCTGGTCGGTATGGGGATCTGAACCCAAGACCTTGGCTGTGCTTTAACCAACTGAGCTAACTTTCTAGCCGCCCTCTTCACTTTATTACATATGTATTTGTCTTACACAGTCTTTCACCACCATCATTTTAAGAGCTGTGTAATACTCCAATGGGTGATAGTTTACTTAACTATTCTTCATTTTTGTCATATCAATCAATTCTTGATTATTTTTGTGTTGTGTTCTACTGTAATTATTTTTGCTCATGCTGTTTTGCCTTTTTATTTTTATAATTTTCTTTAAAATAGTCCCATTAGTCCCATTAATTAGATAGGAGCTAGATGGGTGCACCTGGAAATGTTAATCCTGTTCCTCTGTGGAATTACTCCATTGCTTCTAAACTTGGAAAGTCCTTTCTTTGATTATAGTCAGCTAACTTTCTAGCCGCCCTCTTCACTTTATTACATATGTATTTGTCTTACACAGTCTTTCACCACCATCATTTTAAGAGCTGTGTAATACTCCAATGGGTGATAGTTTACTTAACTATTCTTCATTTTTGTCATATCAATCAATTCTTGATTATTTTTGTGTTGTGTTCTACTGTAATTATTTTTGCTCATGCTGTTTTGCCTTTTTATTTTTATAATTTTCTTTAAAATAGTCCCATTAGTCCCATTAATTAGATAGGAGCTAGATGGGTGTACCTGGAAATGTTAATCCTGTTCCTCTGTGGAATTACTCCATTGCTTCTAAACTTGGAAAGTCCTTCCTTTGATTATAGTACCAAGGGTTGCGATCCCGTTGCCGGTCCCGGTCCGGTACGGGCGCGACACTGAGGGTTGTGGGTCTGTTGCCGGCCACGAAAAAAGACAAAAAGGAAAAAAAAAAAAAAATCACCTCTTTCTTACTTAAAATATAGGGTCTACTTCTGGCCTATTGTTTCACTGATTTGTCTATTTTGCACCAGGAACTTTATAATATTAAAAAAAGAAGGAATTACTGAAGTCAGGCCTCAGCTAGAAGAGGAACTTGGTTCAACTGAAAAGGATGAGATCTGGTAATGGGCTGTCCAGACTTGACAAAAAAAGGAACTGAGGCAATAAAGTAGAAGAGGTGAATTCAGTACAACACGGCAGGAAGATGGCAGGCACCCAAAGACGTCTTGCCTAAAGCAGTGGGCACCTGGAGGCCAAGACTGAAAAAAGGTGTGAGGGGATCACTAGGAGGGACTATGTAGATGGGCATTTGGCAAATACAGCATGATCCTCATAGGAAAAAGGTGTTCCCTGTTTGAAACCAACTATTAATTTACAAAAAAAATATCAGGAAAGACATCTGTAATCAGATGAGCAAGAAGGGAATCATGTCTTACTAAAAACAAGGCTGGCTGATATTTTGATGGAATTAACAATTTGGCAGATGGAGGGAAAAGCAGCAGATGTCGCATATTTAGGCGTCAGTAAACCATTTGTTACAGCCCCTCAGACTTTTATTGGAACAAGTGGCTCAGCCAGCCTTTAGTAATTGGGTAGGCCAGATGTAGTAAGGGGATTTGATATGACAAGTATAGTCCTAATTAACATATTTATTTAAAAAGAAATGCTTTGGAAAAGGTAGGGTGGAATGACAGCATTCAATTTTTTTTTTCCTTTTTGTCTTTTCTCGTGACCGGCAAC